GCAGTGGTAGTAACAGAAGTACCATGGCAAATGTTTACTGAGGGCTTTACTATGTGCCAGACTCTGTTATAAGTGCTTTAAACATATATCATCTCTTTAATGTGGCAGATACAATAAATACCCTTCTTTTACAGTTTAGGGAAATGACACAGAAGTAACTTGTCTGAGATCACAATTTGTAAGCAGTGGAAGCGTAATTCCAACCAAGTCTTCTAACTCCAGAGCCCACTTTCTTAGCCATTATGTAACGCAGCTTCCCTAAAGTTCCAGAATGACTTTTTGAACTAGAGATCCATAGTATAAAAATCTCTGCACCTAACCTATCACTCTTTCTTGAACTTGAATCCCCTCACACTCAGTATGCCTAATCTTGGCTTCGTAGGATTAGAATGCTTTCTCAGATAAGATAAAAAAAACCTGAGGTAAAAACTGGTCTGGGGGTAGGAATCTAGAGTTTGAGATGTATACAGTTTCTGGTTGAGATGTCAATGAAATACTGGAGTAAAGATATGAAGTCTACTACTATCTACTTCATTAGTTTGGATCTTATAAGAGAAAACTGGGCTAAAAATATAAATCTGATGTGGTCACAATTCTATTAATGATAATGTAGCTAACATTTCTTTAGCACAATATTTTGGTTCTTATTCTTGAACAGGTTTTCCCTCAGACTTTCTCACCTTAGAAAATGTATAACCACTCTCCCCACTGTCCATCCGAAAATCTGAGCGTCATCTTTGTTTTCTCTCCTATCTTTATCCATACATATAACTCACCAAATCTTTCTCTAATCCAGAGGTCATTCTAAGTGCACCCACTCCCATCGGCACTGATACTATGGACGCTGTTTAGCCATTGCCTAATCTGCCCAACCTCTTGCCTAGTCCAGAAGTCTTTAAGTATTTTTGCTTGTGTACCTCCTGTAAAAGTTTACACAACTATGATTTTAATTTGACATATAATTTTTTTTTTTACATCTAAGTTCTTGGGCATTTTAAAAATTATTTTTTAAAAATAAAGCATCTTTTTTAAAAAAAAAAGTATCCAATGAAATATAAATACCTTAGTGTCTTGATATCCATCATTATCTATCTAAAAACTGTTCTTCACATTTTCCTTCTTCTCACTGACCTGTGTTTCCACTCCACTTCTCTCTACAATTTTACACTAGTGTAATTTATGATAGACTGCTTGCATGGATCCTCTGTCGTACTTCCCTCAACAAAAAGATTTATATAAATTTAAATCTGACATTTAAAAAATTTCCTATGGTCATAACTCTGTTAAAAATTTTTATGGATTAAGTTATCATTACAGTCACTAGTAATATGTAATCAATCAAAAGCAATACAAATATTAGATATTATGAGAAAATAATCATTAAATATAAAGAATAAATTTTATTAAAAATGTATCTTACAATTCAACATATTTATTCTGTTTTTATTAGTTTACATATCCTTTGATAAATATTGCTTGTTGGAAAGATACGGAGTTTGGCATCCACGCTCTTGGACTGTTTCACTTTCATAGGCACACTAAGAACCTATTCATAAATGAATAGACAGGAATGGAAGAAGTTTTTTTTTATAGCAATATAATAATTCTTTACATTCCTTCAGAATTATATGCCCTAAACCACATAGTAACCTGTCATCAAATACTGTTTGTAATAATCTATTAGCTGGCAACTTAATTAGGTTCTCCTTCAATTCCATTGAAAACAAACAACTGGAAACAACGTGACAAACGTGTCCATTTTCTTAAAAGCAGTATTTTGAATTGTCTCTTTGTTACTGTTTCAGAGTTTTTTTTCCCCAGAGGAACATAAGATAGAAAGAGTCAGGAGAGGCATGTCTGTTATAAATAAAGTGAGGGTGCAGAATTGCCAAAGAAAAAATGAAAAAGGAGATCTGCACATCTTAGGTGCCTTCTGAGCAGATCAATTTGAGGAAAAGGTGTTTGAAAGCTCAGACACTGTGTCCATGTGCCCTTTGGGAACATTTTCATGCATTTCCAGTTTGAAGATCTCTGGCCTATTCTACTCTAATAACCTATCTGATCTTCCTCCTTTCACTCTTACCCCCTCCAATTCATTATCCACCTAGCAGCCAGAATGATCTTCAAATCAAATGATGCTATCCCCCCTTTAAAACTCTTCACTGGCTTCCACCACTCTTTAAAAAACACAAGCTTCTTGCCACAGCTTACATAAGGCCCTGCATACCTTGCACTGCTCCCACCTGCCAGTCATGCTTGTCTTGCACAAACATGTCCAGCTCTTTCCCACCTTACTACCATCACAATTGCTGATTCCTCCCAACTCTTCACATGACAAGCTACTTCTTTGGGGCTCAGGTTAAATGTTACTTTCTCAGAGGCCTTCTCTGGACACTCAATCTAAATCTAAAACAGGTTCTAACCCCTCCAACTCCATGAAATTATTGTCTATTGTAGAAGACCTGTTCTTTTCCTTTACAGTACTTTGTGATAATTTGTAATTAAGGGTTATTTGTTGGATTAGTGTCTGTGTCCCCCTTCAAACTGTAAGGTCACTCGGGGGAGAAACCACAGCTGCTTTGTTTATCACTATACATTATCCAGGACTTATCACAGCCCCACTGGATGATCAACATAGATCTGTTGAATGAATGAATGAATAAGCAAGCAAACAAATGAATAAATATTGTTCTCTGCTTAAAATGCTTCAATGGTTATCTACTGCCTTGAATATAAAATCAAAATTCTTAAATATGACATAAGATTAAACATGCTCCAGCGTGATCTGACTGTGTGTGCTTGTGAGAATGACCTTTCTCACTCCCTCTCTCGTCTTTTTCTCTTCCTCACATGGTTCTTACCATTCATATCTACCCTGAACTGAAGCTACTAACCAACAATTAGTTTCCCAAATGCATTCAGCTTTTACCTATGCTGGTCCCTCTACACAGAATACATTGAACATCCTTCACTTCTTTGCCTACTTCTTTCTAAGACCTCCTCCAGGAAGACTTCTGTGGACTTCTCCCCTCTGAATTATGTGCTTGCCCTTCTCCTCTATTCTGACAGCACTCTATTCAGACCTCTATCGTGGCACTTATCAAAGTGAACCAGAATTACAGGTTCATTCTTCAGTCTTTCCCAATAAATTATAAACTTTTATTTTCAGCGCTTAGTATAGCATCTGGAAAAATACAAAATATTTTTTAAATGTTTGTAGAAAAGGTAGCATAAGTAAAAGCATCATTTTATTTTCAGAGCAGTACTGCCATTTAATAAACAGTGACGGAAATAAACATTCAGACCACTTCAGAATTATGTGTATGAAATCAAGGACAAAACTGTACACTCTGGAAATAGGCAAAAGTAAAAAGGCGATGGGAAGGACTGGAGAGTACAGCTCCCGTTCTGTCAGCACGCACCATCCTACCAGCGCTGCTTTGACAGTGGCAAGTGTGCTATCTGATAATGCACTTGAGTATTACGGTATTAACTGCCGTATAAATGACTGCGCAGATTTGTAGCCACTGAAGAACTAAATAAATCTTTAAAAATAAAAAAGATGTAATACCTAAAAATGTTCATTAATGTATAATTATCTAGAAAATCAGAGATAAAATCTAATGATATTGAAGGTAAAGAATTTATACTTAACATACAAGCAAATAAGGGTGTCAAAAGGCAATTTGAAAAATAAAGTATCACTATTAAAAATACTTTAAAAACAAAAATAAGGATTCATGTGTAAATATTTGTTATTTTGAGAGAATATACCTTTACCATTGCTCAAAACGTTAAAAAATATTCTTTGGTAACAAATTCTAAAGAATATTTAATGAACCAAACAGAAAAACTTTAATGGACTCCTCCCCGCCACCCCCAAAAAAGGTCTCATTACTTTACAAGCATTTTCTAAAATCTTTACTCAGCAGACTGAGTTACAAATGATTGCTTCAAAAAATAAATCTACCCTCAAAGAACAACAGTGAAGATATTTAAAACATTCTTTTCAAGTGTTAAAAACAAAGAAGCATTTCAAAAATTTTAAGTTCGTAATAGGATGGTTAAATTAAGGATATTGCTCCTTAGACCCTGGCAATTCTGAGACTTGTTTATAACATGTTTACGTTCATTTTAAGAAAAGAGACTCTTGCGTTCAACAAAATACAAAATCCCAGGGCTGGCCCATGGCTCACTCAGTAGAGTGCAGTGCTGATAACACCAAGGTCACGGGTTTGGATCCTACATAGGGATGGCCGGTTAGTTCACTTGGGAGAGCGTGGTGCTGACAACAAAATACAAAATCCCGCCAAAAGTTGAGCAGAGAAAATTTTCAGAAAAAGAATCCTCAAGTGGAAAGGGACAAAACAAAAGTAAAGGAGATCTTGGGTTTTCCCAAGAGATGATTATTTACTCATCTGTCAATATGCCAACACAGGTTAGAGGGCATCTTCCTTCATTAGGTCATCACACAACTGGTCTAAATTTCTAGCATAGCTCAGTTTGGAACAGTATTTATTAGGAATGTAAACTATAAGGAGATCCTGTAAGAATATAGTAAACGCATCAAGAAACGTTTTCTTTGGGGAATTTTTCTCTGCTCAAACTTTAGAATGCTCTGTATCTTATTTTAATAAGAGCTATGTTTTTGATACAGTTTTATTTTGCTCTTGGAGAAATCAAGAGATGCAAATATCCTCCCTCTATCAGAGGGAGTCATTTCTTTTCAGAGGCAACATTTAAGCAAGAAACAGGTAACTTTTGGACCAGGGAAAAGATAATAAGAATAATGTTCCTAGCCAAAGAAGTGTCATCTGCTTAAGGCATTTCAAAAGAACATTTGTAGATTACCTCAGTGCACACAATTAACACATAAAAGTAAAATTAACAGTGGAGTTAGAGGACAGAAAATGATAAAAACAGAAGATGAGGGAGGAGAGGACAGTTGATGAAGGTTGTAAGACTTCAGAAGTACAAACATAAAAGCAGTTTCTTCATACCTTGAACCACTTAAAGCCCAAATGACTGGTCTCATGCAATATCTCACTCAACAGCTTCAGATAGGCAGTGAGTAGCAGAATGGTGGAAAACAAGATAAGCAGGAAAGAGAGAAGGAAAAAAGCATGCAATTAAAAGCAAATTTTATACAGCCACTTTGGAAGATAGTTTCAGTTTCTTACAAAGCTAAATATTGTCTGATCATACAATCTTACCATATGATCCAGCAGTCACACTCCCAGGTATTTACCCAAATGAGTTGAAAATTTATGTCCACACAAAAACCTGCACATGAATGTTTATGGCAGCTTTATTCATAATTGCCAAAAATTGGAAATAACCAAGACGTCCTTCAATGGGTGAAGGAATGAACAAACTGTGGCACACCCATACAGTGGAATACCATTCAGAGATAAAAAGAAATGAGCTGTCAAGCCACGAAAAGACATGACAAAATCTTAAATGCAGAAGCTAAGTGAAAGAAGCCAATCTGACAAGGTCACATACTATATGATTCCAACCATCAGTAAAGGAAAAGACAAAACTTATAGCGACAGTAAAAAGATCAGGGATTGAGAACAGGGTGAGGGAGGGATGAATATGTAGAACACAGGAGATATTTAGGGCAGTGAAACTACTCTGCATGATAATGTAATGGTGAATACACGACATTATACATTTGGCAAAACCTGTGGAACTGTACATCACAGAGTGAACCTAATGTGAACTATGGACTAGTTAATAATAGTGTATCAATACTGGCTAATCAATTTTAACAAACATTCTACACTAATGCAAGATGGTAATAATATGGGAAATTGAGGTGGAGAAAGGAGTAAATGTTAATTCTCTGTACTTTCTGCTCAATTTTTCTGTAAATTTAAAATCTGCTCTAAAAAAAAAGTCATGCACCTCTATGTGAAGTAAATTCAAAACCTCAAATAACATTCTCATAATGGGAACAGATGATAGCCTTCACTTGTTAAAACTATTTCTTCCATTCACACCTGCCATCTTCAGTTATTCTTCCTAATAAAAAGTCAAAATGCATGGCATGGGGATCTAAAAAGATGTAGAAAAATATAAAACAAATACAACAAACAACAGAAGAATCCAGTAAGTCACCTCGAGGCTGAGACACGCTAATCTGGGACTCAAGTGCCATGATGTCTATGTCCTTCACACTTGCTATGAACCTTAATTTGTTATAACCTTAACTACACTCCTGAACAAGGCAGGGCATAAAATAAGCAAACTATTTGCTATTTACCATGAACATATTTGAGTTACAAATGTTTGCGTTCTCTCATTCAGTTTAAAAGCCAGGGTTGTGCCCAGTCTTATCACAAACAGGTAAGTTCCATTTCACCTCGATACATTAGTATACACTACATGAACACGCAGGAATCAGTCCTAAATTATGAATGCAGGACCTCTTGTTAATTCCTGTACAACTATACTTCAATTCTTATTTAAGTGTAGATACTTACACTTGATTGAGTGCTTTACAATCTCTATAAACATATAACACGTGTAGTTTACCTAAGCTGTACTGGCTGGGTTTTACCTTTTGTTTAACCAGCAGCACTGCTAGTAACTGTATAAAATCGCAGACCTGTTTTTCAGCATTGGTCCTGGCTGATTCCTCTTGGGCTAGCACCATTTCTCGCTCTGCAGTTATCTGTACACTTTCTCTTAGTGCTTCTTCCAGCTCTTCAATCCTGTCATCCTTCTTACGGAGACTGTCCTGGAAAATGATGGAAGACTTGGTGAAGTGGGTTAAAGTCAACTCATGGAGAGCCTGTTTATCAAGAAAGGGTCATTTGCTTGTTACCGTTCTTCCCTTCAGAAGCAAATCCAGGTCAAAAAGATAGCTACACAGAGGAAAGAATAAAACAAGGGAAGAGAAGTAAAGTAGCTTGAAGATGTGTATTATTAAGAGCAAAGGGTCAAGTTAGCAAGACAAGTGTGACAGACTTGCTCTCTACAACAGAGAGAATGAAACTGTTCATGTCAGACAGCGTAGGTTCCTGAACTACTCTCTAAAACTGAGCTTAAAGCCACCCTTGGGCCGGCCCGGTGGCGCGCTGGATAAGTGCGCCGCTTGGGAAGCGCGGCGGCGCTCCCGTCCGAGGGTTCGGATCCCACATACAGACGGGTTCCCGCTCACTGGCTGAGCGAGGCGCGGGGGCAACGCCAAGGGTTGCGATCCCGTTGCCGGTCCCCGGTCCGGTAGGGGGGCGACACTGAGGGTTGCGATCCGTTGCCGGACACGGAAAAAAGACAACGATCCCGTTGCCG